TGAAGCGGTATATAAGTCTAACTGCTATTGCTATTGCTATTGCTATCCCCCAAAATGAGGTCAATTGAAGTGTACCTTGCAAATACAAGCCCTGCCCATTCATATACTATACAAGCCTTGCCTGAAGCTTTGTCAGTAATGGCTCTATGAACTGTCTCTTTCTCTCTCTCTCTCTCTCTCTCCCCCCACCTCTCTCCCGGAGAGGTTTTCTGTACTTTTCATATACGATCCTTCAGATGATTTCAGCACATTGATTTAGGAGACAGTAACAGTTGCAATGTATGGTTGTGAAAGTTGGACCATAAGAAAGGCTGAGCGCCAAAGAATTGAGGCCTTTGAACTATGGCGCTGGAGAAAACTCCTGCAAGTCTCTTGGACTGCAAGGTGATCAAACTGGTCAGTCCTAGAGGAGATCAACCCTGACTGCTCTTTAGAAGGCCAGATCCTGAAGATGAAACTCAAATACTTTGGCCACCTAATGAGAAGGAAGGACTCACAGGAGAAGAGCCTAATACTGGGAAAGACTGAGGGCAAAAGAAGAAGGGCTGGATGGAGTCACTGAAGCAGTAGGTGAGCTTAAATGGATTCCAGGGGATGGTAGAGGACAGGAAGGCCTGGAGAAACGTTGTCCATGGGGTAGTGATGGGTCGGACATAACTTGGCAACTAACAACAACGACAGGTACCGAATCAGCCCCGAAAACACATCCCGAACCGGATCTTCGTGTGTCCCGTTATTCGGAAATCAGCGCGGGATGCTCCCTGCCTGACTTTTTTTTTTTTTGCACTGCAGACGTGCATCCCGACTCATGCGCTCCGCATTTACCCTATTTAGACACACCGTAAACTCACCCCTCCCGATTCTCGCCCAGCATTTCAACCAGCGCTTCGGCCGGCATTTCCCGCCTGGTCCGAGACGAGGAGGAGGAGGAGGAGGAGGAGCTGCGCTGTCGGAGCAGACCAATGGCGCGGCTGGTATGCAAAGAAGCTCAAGATTCGCGGTCGCGCTGCGGCAGGAGATCCGAGCCGACTCCTCTGGAGGGACTGCGGATCCACTCGAGTCGGGCGCTCGCTCGCTCTTTTTGCTCAGGGTCAGTGATAAACCTAAACAAATCCCAAAGCGCTGCGCTCATGTTGGGGAGGAAAACAAAGATTTGAGGACTCCGGATCCCCGAGGGCATCGTGAGATCTGTTTTGAAAGGAGCGGGTTTTGAAACTCTTCAGTCTGTTTCCTGGAACGGAGTGGCTTTGATTGATTGGTCCCCTCGCTTATTCGCTGTCAGTAAGTAACAGAATGGAGTTTCTTTTTTCCTCTTTTGTTTTAATGATGGTAAGATGAATGAGAAGAGTTGTGGGTCCTATTATCCCCGATGACTTGGAATTAAATTCTTATTGTGGTTTATGAAATGTGTGAATAGGTTTGCCGCTTTATTTTTACAAGGGGAAATCGGACTCTGTATTCTGGGATATTTCACTTTGGCATTGAAGCATTAATATGGCAAGATGATAATAATAGCAAGAATCGGAATACATTACTTAATATTTTCTTTGCAATTTGATGCTTTTATTGGGTTACTCCAAATGTGTAGTGATTCTGTTGAATAGTGTTCAACTTGCCCCTTCTTAGCAAACTTTCTTTGGGGGCGGGGAGAGCCTGAATGGGCAAAGATTCAGAGAGGAAGGCTGTATACGAGATGCTCTTTGTTAGGGCAACTGCACCATAAAAGACCCCTTGCCATGACCTTATTCAAATTAGCGATTAGAAGCCTCAGATTCTTTGGGTGCTTTCTGAGAAACTTAACTTGAGTTTGATCTGGTTCTCAAATTCTGCTGAGCCATAAGATGGTATATTTGATTTTAGCTTAAGCAATTTATTGAAGTGGGTTAAAAATTCATAGTGGTTTATTATGGTTCAATGTATGAACCTCATCCTAAAGCCTATAGCTTTGCCCTGCCATTTGACAGCACTCAGCTGACCCTGGACCTAGCTAACAGTTGAATTGGACTAACTAGTAATATGGGTAGCCCTTGACTTGTGACCACAGTAGTACCATAAAATGTATTGTTAAGTGATGCAGTCATTAAGTGTGGCATCAGGGGACTGTACACAATTTTATAACTTTTTTTTGCCATAGTTGTTAAGCAAGATTTCACATTACTGTGACTTGCAGCCTTCCCCACTGGTTTTCCCATTGACTTGGCTTGTTGGAAGCCAGAGGGGAGGGTCACAAATGGCGATTCCATGACCATGGGATATTGTAGCCGTCACAAATGTGTGACAGCTGCTAAGGATCTGAATGTTGATCATGTGATTGCTGGGACACTGCAACAGTTGTAAGTCATTTTCTTCAGTTCTATTGTAACTTTGAATGGTCAATAAATGAATAGTAGTAAGTTAAGGACTGCCTGTACTAAACATCTGTCAAAAATAATGGCTATGAAGAAACTACCAAGGAGAAAACATTACTCCCATTTACAGTGACAGGGCAAGCAAGTTTATATAAAGAAAGTGAACCCAAATATGTTCCAGTACCGAAGATGCTACCTATTCAAGCAATGAAACATCTGCATCAAAACAATTCAGCTCAGAGGACTCCACAGTTCAATTCTGAGTTGCATATATTCTCTTCCTTGACAGCTTCCCACTGACATTGGGGTTCCCCATATAGGCATCAAATGCTTCAGAAAGCATACAAATGAGAGAAATTTGAAAGCAGGCAAACCTCCACCCAGGAACAGTTTTTTTCCCCTGCATGAATGCCTACAATAGCATGCCCTGTCCACGAGTGTCAGATACAGACTCCAATAAATGGCACAACTGGATGGAAAATAGCAGAGTGGGCAAAAATAATTATTATAATGATCATGGATGTGCATCATATTAAAACATAATACCAGCACACCATAGATAACACCAAGGATTATGTCCCAGAACATACAATGTTGACAACTGCGATCAAGACTACAATTCTAAGAGCAGCTGGAATAAAGAAAATGAAGCTTCAAGGCAACTGTTCAAACTAAACCCCAGGAAGAAAAAGACACCTGAACTTGACTGAGTTGTCCACTTCTCCAGCTGCTCACTGTCATGACAGAATACCACATCCTACACAAAGGCTTCAACTATAATATACCGTAAATTATGTCAATTAGAATTTTTTGCAGCCTTGGAGGCAGCATTTAAAACCACAGGACTTAGCAAAGAAACCTAAGAGAATGTAAGACAGATGTTCACATCAGAGACCATAAGAGCACAGATCTAGAGCCAATTCAAAGCAGAGGACAGAGCAGCTCGCAAAAACCCAAAGCTGGACCAAACCATCATCATCCTCCCAGCAGACAAAGACAGTACCAGTTATCATGGTCAGATCACAAAGGAAACTGCATCTGTATAAATACTAATCCTGTGCAGAAACTAGACAAACTGATCAAGAGAACCCCTAATGAGGTAAATACAAAAGGTCAAATCACAAAAGAATTTGTGGCGGATGAAAAGCAATGAATTCATTCTTCCACGCTTCCATGAACACCCAAAAATACAGTAGCCCAACATACCTCTTTTGAGGTATCCTTGGTGCTCTCTGAGCTTGGTAGTTTTCTTACAGAAGTTTCATTACTCATACTAGATAGCCTTGCACTGATGATGTTGCCTAGTTTGGGTAATAAAACATCTGCAAGAAAACTACCAAGTTCAGAGAGCACCAAGCACCTCTCATTTCAACCCTGAGCTACAAATCTCCTCCTTTATTGATGCCTCTTTATCCAAGTGTATTGTTATCAGGGTCGCCAAAGTACAACACTGGTAAATAATGGCTTGAACACTTCACAGAAGGGAGTGAATAGTCTATCAAATTCTCACTACAGACTTCCAGACCTCCAATGATGGAGGAAAATGAGATTATGGTTTCATTCAGTGTCATAATACTCTTTACATCTATAGACCCAGAACTAATGAAAGAATCTATGGCAGCAGTACTAAACAGCACACCTAGCCTTTAATTAAGGTTGAAATACCACAAACATGGACCTTATCAACATCTGCCTCATTACCTACTTTCAGTGTGATGGGCAAATATGCCAACAAATCAGAGGAACACCCAGGGGCCATAGCAGAGACTATAATGCAGCATCTAGAAACTATAGTACTCCTACACAAACAATAAAAACAATGGGTCTGGAATGTAGATGACACCTTTATCATAATAAAAATGAGACAATTAGAGAAGAAACATGAAACCATCAACACCATCTTCAAAAGGATAAAATTTACAAGGGAAGAAGATGAGAAACACACACTCCTTTTTGACATCTCCATCAGCAAAGAGAATGGTGGCAAATTAGAAACACAAGCCTATCAAACAACCGGTTCCACCACAAAACCGCGGCCGACAAAATCGCGGTCGACGAAAGTGCGCATTTGACGTCATCACAGCGCGACGAAAACATCGCGCTGTGATCGAAAAATGTAAAAATAAAGCGAAAACCTTACCCTAACCCCCCCAAACCTCCCAATTTGACAAAATTACAGTCTGCAGTA